AAGAGAAGAGGAGATGGTGAATAGCTTACAATTCTTTAACATGAAACTTCAAGCAATTAGGAATCTGTTGTACAAATGACTTGAATGAAAGTGATCTTGCACAACTGGGACACTTCCCTCAGCACCCTTCTCTTGAAACGATACAAACATGAATATTCAACTCTGGCAGTTTTGTGAGGTATCGCAAGCTTCAATCGAAAACTGATTTTAAAAAGATATTTGGTTAATGCGGAGGAAAAGAGAAAATAAAAAACGTAGGATAATTGATATGAGAGACATAACTGGTAATCTTATGCTACTTTGAATTGTTTTGTGGTGGGGAAGGGCAATGACAGAACAACTAGTTAAATGAAAATTGAAGACTGCAGAGTAGTAAAATACATTTGAGAAACAAAAAATTACCTCTGATATATGGAATGTGAGAAATCTTGTGCCATTCTGACCCGCTGTCCTCAATGCATCCTTCCTTTACACGGGGACATCTAACAATCCATAGCGTTTGAAATTTGGTGAGGTGTTGCATAGCTTTGATTGTAGGCAGATGCGTCAAATTCTCACAACTGTCTATATGTAGGCTGGTAAGAGATGTAAGGTTACCAAACCACTCTGGCAAAGCCTCCATGCCATTAAAAGATTGTATAGACAAAGATGTCACAGAATGGAGGTACTTGATTTCTTCGGGCAGAGAATCAAGCTCTTTACAGAAACCACCTATTTCCAATTCCTTCAAACGAGTGAGACAATGAAGCCCTCTCGGAAAATATTTTAATTTGCCACAATCTTTTATGCTTAATGAGGAAAGAGAACTTAGATTGGATACATCTTCCGCAACTGATATCAAATTGTTGCAGGACTCAATAGACAACAGCTCAAGAGATGTGCAGGATGGCAACTTACTCAGTAGACTTGTTAATCCATCGCATTTCTGAATCTTCAAATGACGGAGGGATGTGAGGTTGTCTACATTTGGAACAGTCTCTAGTTTAGGGCAATTCTCTATTCTCAACTGCTCAAGAGAGACCTGGATTTGTAGCCCAGTGGGAAGATACTTTAGTTTCCCACAATTAGAAATCTCCAACTGACGTAGGGATGTGAGGTTGTCTGCATTTGGGAGAGAGTCCAGATTAGGGCAATTATCTATTCTCAACTCCTCAAGAGAGACGGGGATTTGTACGTCTGCATTTGGGAGAGAGGCCAGAAGTTCTTTTAATTTCCCAC